GGGAGGGAGGGAGCGTCCGGAAGGCGAGAACGGTTCTACGTCAAAATCCTTTCCTCACCCCCCCACTCGAGTACGTGGGGAAGCAATTCTAGCGCAAGGCAGTCGCTTTTACTAACGGTAAGGAAACAAAATTTTACGTATTTTTTTTCTCTGAGAAAGCAAATGAAAGATGTAACTGGGCATTACTATACCAGTGAGGAAGATGCTCAAAAAAAACATCATTTGGTTGAGTGGTTTATTTTCTCCAGCATACAGCAATACAATAATAGCTACAGCGACCATACATGCACCAAAAAAAGTTTTTTAAATAAAAACACATTTCATTAAACATCTTCTTGTTTCTTGCTTGTGGCAAACAGAATAACGCCTTTTTTGCCCCAGAAATTTTAATTGTGCTGGTCTCAGTTCAGGCAGCAGGAGAGCCACTATGAATCATTCTAACCTTGAATGTATTTCATATAAACATAACTGAGCTGCATTCCCAGAACGCGTTTGGCATCGCCCTGAGGGCCCTGGCCACAAAGGAGCAGAGAAACCCTACCAGCACCTGACCCCCGCAGGCCGGGCAGGTGAGGATTTCCACACCTCTGTTTTGACTCTCGCTGCACACAGTAACTGCACACAACACACCTTTTCTGTACAAATACAGGCCAAAACCATTAAAAGAACATGTTACACCCACCACCACCACCCTTTGATTCCAGCACTGTTTGCCTATTCTGTTTACCCGCATCTAGCACAGGCACTGAATAAGGCAGCTGTAATAGCATATAAAATTAAGGTCTATACCATAATTAAGGTACAGACTGATACACAAAACAGAGATGCTTCCATTTATCAGCCGGAATAGCCAGGCACGTTACAAACCACTGCAGAAAAATATATGCATAAAAATAAAGAGCTGCTGAGAGGCTCTGCCCCATCAGTTTGCCAAACCGTCAGTATTTTCAATGCAAGCACATCGCAACAGATGCAGATTCTACTTTATAAGGCTGACAAAGGAAAAAAAAAAAAACCCAAAACTTTTGTCATCTTGCTGGTACAAACCTACAGCAGGTTTCAGTCTATAGTCTTCTCAAGTACTAGTTTGGACAGTAATTTGGACATCTCCATCAAAGATTAAAGAGCACTGAATGGGTGGGATATGCTTGTGTCTGGCTTATCGAGCCATTTCTGCCCACATGCTCTAAAGGCAATTTGGTTTTCATGTTCTTACATTAGCAATGTGTTTTGATATGCAGATATTTTGATGTCAGCTGACTACCTCGAAAGCCAGCCAAGAACCCCCCGGAAACACTAACTGACATTTGTAGATTTATCTCTACCATTTAGTCACTGATCTTAAAATCTCTTGGGCAACACTAGGCTACATGCCTGCTTCCTGTCATAGCCAGCACATGGACAAGAAGTCCAGCCGAACTAGCAGCTATTAAGGTTGTAGGCTAACAGAGAACACTAGTAAAAAATGCAAAGCGAACTGAGCTCATCCAAATCTGAAAACCCTCATGACCAAAGAGGAGGAGCATGCCCGATTTCTCTAACAGCTGAGGGTGTGGGACAGAAGGCAAAAGACCCATGGGCTAAAGCACGCTGAATTTATGGTGGTTTACCAGACCACTGGTAAACACAGAGCCCAAAGCCCTACAAAACCCACTAGGATGCGGTGAGGTTGCATCTCAGACACTGCATTTCAGCAGAACAGAGCTGTGATGAGAAGTTTGGAGGGAAGGAAGGGAGAAGTCTTACTGATGTTTTTACCCAGGGACGCATCTTGCTCGTGAGGAGCAGTACAGGAGCACGAACTGAGGCACATCCGCTCTGTTGGTGACCAGCACCATTACCCTAGCAAAGGCAAGACTCCTTTAGACAGGTCAGGGTCAAATCAGACCACTCAAGGGCGACACATTCAACTGCAATAAAGAGACATCAGGAAGACACCTCCAGAGGAAAAACAGCCACTTTTTGAGAGATCTGGAATGAGCTGGGACTGCCAAGACAGAAGGTCAGTATAGGAAAATGCAGTAGTCAAGGCATGAAAAATTCTGTCTTGACAGATGCTTCTAGCAGAAGTCCAGAGGCTTAATCAAAATGCAGTAGCATAGAATAAAAGACACACAAAATGTAAAGTGCTTGATGAAGGGAGGGAATGCACCTGTATTTTGTCAGTGTTCCTGTTAGAGATGAAAGCCCAGCACCAGAGTAGCTTCTAGTGATGGAAAGTTAAGTTGGAGGGGGAGGAAAATGAGTGCTTCCAAGAGAGCAGCCTGTTCTTCTCTCCAAACAACTGCTCACCAAGCAAAGAGATACACAGGTTCATACGTGCAGCTGGTAAGACCCCACCACAGCTTAGTGCTCCCCTCAGGATGCAGTAGCAGAGCTGAAGGAAGCATGCCTTCCTCTACCCCGACTTCAAAGGAGGCAAGGAAGAGGATTTCATCACTGTGGGCAGAAGATTAAATATCAATCTTGTTAACCTGAGGAAAGACTGAAGGAAGAAGAGCTGATATTCCACTGGCTGCAGAAACTCCTGTGATCCCCATTTCTAAACTAGTAAATAAAACCCCAAACCCCTCAATTCATTCCAAACATTATTTCTGATGTGATAGAGTAGTTTTGGCTTTCATTGTATGACAGACTGACATATGCCAGACTGTTTTAACCTGTCAGACATGGTATTACCAAACACTTCCTCTTTGTTCAAGCTTTTTTTTATTCAGCTGATGATTTGAAGCAGTGGTAAAGTTGAATCAGAAGTAAGTTTTAATTATTATATTTCTGGGATTTTTAAAGCTAGCATAATTCTGTTACTTATTCATTATATAAAAGTTGTCTAACGTTCACCTTCCCTGCAAATGCAGAATTTATTTATTTTGCCATTGTCTTTTTCAACCTCCTTCTTCCTTCAGTTACTTTCAGGGTGGTTAAAATATTAAGACTGTAAGCTCAGACTACATACTTACGTATACACTTATAATTATCCTTAACATGCTGCTACCCTATATATGCTGTCAAAGAAATTTTGCTATTTTGGATTTCTCAGCTTTAGTTGTTGCAAAGAATATAACTTTTGCAAGCACAGGTTTGTGTGCAATCACACTGAACTAGAAGTAGTCAGCTCTCCCACTCAGCTCATTTCCCAAAAATAAATCACCACTTTACTAAGGAAGCTGTTGTAGTAAGTGACTGTTTGTCTCAGCCTGTAGCCCTCCTCCCCTTGATATCACTTTAATACACCTTGGCCATTTCAGGCAGCGTAACTGGGATAAAGCACTACTTTAAAAGTCTTTTTGATGGAATTCACGTATATTAGAGCTAGAGCTATGCTTTTACAATCTAATAGCTGTACTTTTGTTGCCGATTTGAGAAATCGGTGAAGAGCAACTCACATCAGAAGGGATGGAACAGGTAAAACGTTTGGTGCAAACAGCTGAAACAGGACTCCACAAGAATTTGGAGTAGAAACCAACTGGAATAAGACACAAAGAACCCACACTCTATTGAGAGAAGAACCACCGCAAAAAGGATGGAGTGGACTCATCTGCCACTCTGTGTAAACTAGGTGGATGCAGAAAAGATGAGTTTCTACCAATATAAACACACATGCTACCCATTACATGTCTTTTTCTTGTTTTACACTGCTCACTGTGCTTTGTATCCACTGGTTTTGATTGTGCTAAAATAAAAAACACTGTCATTTTATTTCTTTAAACCAACAAAACCATTTAAGTAAAAAAATGTTATATATAATTACATACAGTAAATAAATTTACTAAAAAAACCCTAACCCCCAGACAATACTCCTTTAATAGATTTGGTAGTTTCACCATGTTTTACTAAGTACCACTTTCCACAGTACCATATGCAATGCTAAATCCTAAGTGGGGGAAAAAAAACCCCACAAACCTTACAGTGTGCATGTCCATCAGAGAGAGAAGGGAGGGAGGGACACAACACCAATAAAAACACCAATAAAAATATCTAGCCTATATCAAACGTACCTCTCCATTAGGGAATTTAATAGAAAAAACCTACCGCTTATAATTTAACACCAAGCGCTCTTCCTGGCAACCAGGATTACAGGTTTATGCTGAATACAATCTTATGTTCAAATACGGAGATAAGCAGCATTATCCCAAAACCCAACAGAATCCCAGCGTTCTGTAACAGGAAGTATCCCCAGCGGCTACATCCATGATCACTGGCATCATTATGGAGCATTTCGGGTACCTGAACAAACAAGGAACTGTTAAATGCCTTCAAAATAAACACTTGCTTCAAACCCAGTTCTTCAGCCATGAGGTAGCTGAGTCTTACTCCTCTAGTTTTTCCTGTTGACTGCATTAATACTACTCCTTGAATTAGGTGTCACTCAACACAAACAACATTATCAGAGTCTTTCATATTTAGAGATAAAGAGAATCTGTAACATTCTAATTACTGTTTTCATGCTAGTTACACTGATGTCTTAAGCCAGCCGTTTACTCAGGATATGATTATTTACCAACTGATTTAACAAAGCCACACCAAGTATTTTATTCTTAAGATAGTTGAGCTTTCACGAACATCCACCAAATACTTTGTACTTCTATACAAACATACTTCTGAGGTACAGTATAGGTTTTAATACAATTCTGTCTTCAACCCAAGAAGCAGTAATGATTTAATGCAAAAGCCGAAGCACATTTGGTGGTGCTGATAACCAGTACGGCTGCACATTGCATGCTATCTGTTCTACTAGCCACTGCCAGAAGCAGATTTTTTACTCTACTTCTGCTGTTAACTGCCTCTGTTTTACACCACTAAGGGAGAAACAGTCTCTGACCCTACAGTAATCTAAATACAAGCAATCTTCCACCTGAACATTTAACTGAGCACTTACACTGCATACTCATCAGAACCTACAAGTGCAGAAAAAGTTAATTGAGGGAGAAACGATGGAAGAATTTATTTTTGAGATTAAAATACAATTAGCATTAATTCTTAAACAATGTTATATAAAATTCAAGTAGGTCTAGCCACTTACCATATCCACAAGAGCCACATACATGAACAAGCCTGCAGTAAGTGCAAATATCCACATGGAAACATTGTCTGCATAATGACCGATAAGAATCCCAGTCGCCATTCCAAGATAGGCCAGCATAGCTGACAGAGCATTATAAAGCACAGCTTGCTTGACAGTCATACCGGCTTTTAGAAGTACAGCAAAATCTCCTACAACAGGGGAAAAAACAAAAAGTTTTCATCCTCAGGTAACTATTACAGTATTCATGAGTTCTCCTCTTACTTAGAAGATTACTAAGCTATTTTTATGCTATTGTCTGCCTTATTTTTTTCCTTCATGAAACCAGAAGTCACTGGGGGGACAGAAAATTAAAAATCACACATGAAGAACAACACAGCAGCAAACACTAATTTTATAACCTTAAAGTCTTCGGATTTTTGGAAGAAGCAGCTTTTAGTGCAGTTTGCATTTAAACCAGCACTGTAAAATACTGCAGTACCTGATATGCATGAGCATTCTAAAGAAGTTTAAGTAAAATATTCCCATTTAATTGCACAAAGCAATGGTGATGATTCCATTTGTTATCCTGTAACTGCTCTTTGTACTTTAAGTCTATTTCTAACTCTATAAAACATCTAATTTCTTTATTAATTTCTGTTAAGTGATCCTTAACATCTTATTTTTACTTGAAGGAATGACAGGCTACCAGCCAGAAACAGGTTTTCCATAATTCAGAATAGAATTTTTTTTTTGCTTAGATAAATTAGATCTAAACCAGAGTAAAATAATAAGCTTATTATTTGGAAATAAAATGGATTCTATATAAAAACCTAAGTTATCTCCAGTTAAAGTAAACAAAAGCAATCTTCAAAGCTGAGTTGAGTAATTTGTTACAATAGCTTTTCCCACAAGATACTGCAATTAAGATGAACTGGTATGTTACAAACATTGTTTAGCATTAACAGAATGATCCAATTTTATCCCCAGCTAACTTCAGCTAGTCCCATTTGTTTCAGTATCGCTATGCCACTTCATATCCTCTGTTAAAGAAGGTATTTCTATCAAGTTTTCTGTGCTGATTAAAGAAGCATGATTTAATTTTAAAAAGATTTTTCTTGCTTCCAAAACCAACAGAACACTTGAATCTAAAATTCAGATTCATAACATGAATTTTGTATATTTGTACTACCAACGTCTAGTACATGTAATTAATATAAGTTCCACGATTCCAGTGGAATTTATATTAAGATTAACAAGGCTCAATTCCTCCCATGTCATAAAACCAGGTACCTTTTCTCCAGAGTAATGTATTTCTGTATAACATTATTGTACAGACAGATAAATATATCAAACTGTTTAATAAATGGTTTGATGTATACACATACTGGTTTACAAGCTCCATTAAATGAAATGGAACATTCTACTTTCTAGAGAATTAAACCTTAAAAAAGTGCAAGTAAACTGTTCTTTCCTCCTTCTATACACCAAGTATGAACATGGCCATGACAGCTAAGAAAGAAATACCAGTTGCATATTCAAAATGATTCGACAATTGGACGGATCAGCTTCATTCCAAGTTAAACTAAGCAGCTACGTCCTGTTCTCATGAGCTGCCGTGCAAAAGGGCCAAATACAAAACTTACAATGTAAGACACATGCATTCCCATGAGAAATTATGGTCATGAATTTAAATCACTTGAGCTTGAAAAACAAACTATTTCTAGGAAAGATTTCTAAGTAGTTCCAAGTTTAATTTAGAGCTACAGCAGTTCTTTGCAAGACTTAATGAAAAAAGCAGCAAATGTTATGTGGAAAGGCGTTTGACTAATTGTGACCTTCCTTTTAACAGCACAAACGCAAGAATAAAATTAAACAGAGATGTGAGAAAAGCAAGTTCTGACATGTATTTCCTGCAATTCACAATTTATGTTGCTAAGGAGAATAAAAAAACCTACAACTGAACTATACATAACAAGTTTTAAGTAACTGCAAGAGATACTCAGTTTTAAACAAAGCAGCTGAAATATTTAGATTTTTAAAAGGAATGTTTTATTTCTTAATTGAATTAATAGTCTTTAAATAAGTTAAAAGTATTCTTGAGTAGACAATCTGACACAGATGAAGTTTTCTGATCACATTTTACCGTGCCACAGAACAAAATAATTCTCCAAAGTGCACCTGTAAGTACCTATACCTGCGGCATATGGAAATATTGGTGTCTTACCTAGCTCATGAGGTAATTCATGGCAAAATACAGCCACAGAAGTGCTTAAACCACTAGATAACCCTTCAGTAAAGGCTGCTCCTATGAAGAGACAGGAAAAACAAACATTACTGTGCATTCAGACATCAAGTGCGGAAGCATTGTTGCATATGCTTGTGTCATATTAGGACATATTAGTTTCACTCAAACTTTTCTTATGCTTGTGGAAGCATTTAAACTTTAACTGAACAGCTGTTGTTTATGATTCCTAAGATTCAAAATCAGAAGCAACATAGAATCCTCAAATTAGTTAAAGCAAATGAAATTTCACCATCTTATTTCTGAACTAAGACAATACCTTTCAACAACACAACCCTCCCAAAAAAATGTAGTAAGTGGAAATACTGTCAGAAAAGACACTTTTAAAAAAAGATACAAAGGGAAGAAGGCAGCTCAACTGCCTCCGAGAGTCAGGCATTGGAAAAAGGGAAGTCAGTTTAACAGTAAGAGAGGCTATATAGTCACGCGAAGACAGCAGTGAAAGATTGTGAATTCTAGGCAGCTTGCACATAAGTGACCTATCACACTTCAAGTGGAGGAAAAAACCCAGAAAAACCCCTTAAACTAGTCCACCAGTCCCCATCTTTGTTTTCTCCACACCTTCTGCTGCTTGCTATTTTTCTTATTTGACAGCAGCTCAGGAGGAAGCAGCACGCAGCAGGGCTGAAGAGCTGAACCACAGCTCACACACAGCACAGGAGGTCCCCGTTTGCACAGAGAGCCCCACCGAGGGGTGCAGCAGAACCACATCCAGCTTCCTCTTCAGCTGCTACCAGGAGCATGCCAGCAAACAACATGCTGCCAATAAGCAGTTAAAGAGGCACAAGACCCTGTCACAGTAGTTGACACGCAAGGGACCCAGGAGTACTGCTCACAGAGGAACAGCTACAATGGCTATGAGACCACGGGAGACAATCCCCTTTCTCCACTGGCATCGCCACCCCCAGTACTCCATCAGCCTCTACCCAGATGTAACCCCCGAGAGTGGACACTGCTATCCAGGTCTTCATCTGCAAGAAATGACTGATGCTCCTCCCTGCAGTGATAACAGCAGCAGCTTTACCTCTGGGATGCGTGCTGTGGCACCCAATGAAGGAGATGCAAGAAGTAGTGAGCAGGCATCTCTGGACGAGGGATAATGAACAGGGGATTGAGAGGGTCCTTCAGAAGAGGTTCTACAAAGGCAAGAGCCCAAGCCCCTCCAGGCTAAACAGGAAGGCAGGACCAAAGCAGCACTGAAACAGGAAACATGAACTCCCTGATGGGTAAAATTTGAAAAAATAGTGAAGCCTGGTAACTGGAAGAACCCTCCGTCCCCACCTGCAGCTGCTAATCTGAAGATCATGGTCACAACCCTGGCAGCAGTGAGAGGATAAGTGAGTTCTGCCTAGCCCAGAATATTCATTCAGCACAACAGATTAGTGCCAGCAATACAAAAGGAAAGGAAAAGATTTTTAGTGACAGGAGATTCCCTCCCATGCAGGATAGAGGGCAGAGGCAGACCTGCCAACCAGAGCTACTGCCCAGGGAAGTCCATTGCTTGCCTGGAGCCTGCCTTGATGATGCTGTGGAGACACACCAAAGCTCGTTTGGCCTGTCATGGATAGATACAGACTGCTTAGAAAAGACAGAACACAAGTCTTTTTTTCCTATCTACATAAAGGAGTTCCTTGACTGCACAGAGCTCCAGTATAAAACTACATATGAATGCAGCTTCTTGCGCCTATTAAGTCTCTTGGTCAAGATCAGAGTAACACTAGGAATATGGTTATAAGCCACCTAACCAAGAAGAGGTGGTGGATAAGGCTACCTATGAACGACCACACAAGACATCACCATTCACATGAGATTTTTCAGCTGTGAAGGTAACAGCACTGGGCACAGAACCCAGGATGTTCCTTAATTGTGTTGGCAATGGTTTCCCAATACAAAGGCAAAAAAGTGCCCAGAAGAGGTAGCTGATTTGTAAAGCACGCTTAACAGAGTGCACAAACCAACTACCCTGTTTGTGCAGGAACACTAGGACTTCCAACAGAAGACATGCCCAGCTAAGCAGAGTGTGTCTTGATGAATTAAGACTCAAAAAGGAAGCACAGAAGAAATAGAAACAAAGATTGGCAACAAGGAAGATAAAAGCAGTGGAACAAAAAGCAGGAAGACCAAAGCCCAGCTGGAGCTAAGACTAAGAAGACACCAAAGATAACAAGAAACAGTTCTACAGGAATGCTAGCTGAGAAGCAAAGTTCAGGAAAAATTTGGGTCTGTTGATGGATGGAGAAGGGAACCAAGCAGTAGACATAAAAAGGCTGAAGCACCAGCACCGCCTTCATCTCAGTCTTCATAGACAAAGCCAGATCCCAGAACCATTCCAGAAAAAAAGGAACAGCAAACAGCAGCGAAGCAACAGCTTAGAGATACTTACTTAGAAAAAATGGAAATGCTCAGATGCATTCCAAGATGGGACTCACCTAAGGGTGCTGACAGAGTTGACTGATGCAACTGCAAGGCTGCAGCCTATCATCTGTGGAAAACCATGGCTACAGAAGGCCCCAGTGGAACTCTGGGAAAAGGATAACTTATTCCCCTCTTTAAGAAAGGCAAAGAATAGGACTCCGAACAGTCAGCCTCACCTCAGCTCCTGGAAAGATCATGTTGAATATCCTCTTCAAATCCCTCTCCAAATGCTTGAGGAAATAACTGACTGTAGAGATGGCAACAGCAGTGAATATAACAGAACTTGACTTTAGTAGGATTACTGACACTATCTTCTAGAGCAGTCTTATCTGGAAGCAGAGGGAATATGGGCTTGACAGTTAGATGATTGCACATTGGCTGGACTGCTGGGCTAGAAGGTCTTGATGGCTGGCTAGTAACAAGTAGAGTTCACCAGGACAAATACTGCAACCCATTTTCTTCAATATCTTCACTAATGATCTGGATGAAACAGACTGCACTGTCAGCAAATTTGCAGATGACACTAAGTTGAGGGGCAGGGGGGAGAAAGTAAGGGCTGTGTTGACACATCAAGCACTAGAGCTTTGGACAAGACAGACCATGGAAAACTTGAAGACTAGGCCAACAGAAATCTTATGAAGTTCAAAGGGGAAAAGTGAGAAATTCTGCACATGGGGCAGAATGACCTCATGCATTAGTACAAGGTAGGAACTGGCTGGCTGAAATAGCAGCCTTCCCGAAAAGGACATGAGGATTAAGATGGACAACAAGTTGAATATGAGCCAACAGTGTGCTCTCATTGCAAGTACAGTGAACCACAAACTGCATAGTCTTAGGAGAAGCAAGGCCAGCAGTCTAAGTTCTCATCCCCCTCTGCTAAGCACTGGTAAGCTGTTCTGGGATTCTCTGTCCACTTTAGGGTGTCCCAGTTCAAGGTGGATATGAATACTGTCCAACAGAAGCTGACAAGATGATCAGAGGTCTAGAGCATAAGGCCTAAAAGCTTGAAGAAGCTAGGTATATTTAACCTCCCTCTCCACCAGACTAAGGGGTGGTTTACAGCAGCTTATAAGTACCTTTAGTGCAGTCACAAATATGAAGAAGCCTAACTCTTCAAAGTAGTGACAGATGACACAACAGGGGGAGAGGCTGCAAATTACCATTAGGGAGCTTTGGGCTGGACATAAATAAAGCTTTCCTTATTAAGAGACAGTAGTGCAACGCTAGAAGAGGTCAGCCACAGACGTGGTGGAATCTCCCCATCTGTGGATGTTTTCAAGGCTTGGCTGTGCAAAGCCATGACTCACCCAATCTAGTGTTCCCAAGAGCTGTTTCAAGCAGAGGGTTCAATTAGGTGACCTCTAGAGGTCACCATTTCTGACTCTGAATTGGACTTTACAAATAGAGATCCACAGTATGGAAGAGGTCAGCCACAGACGTGGTGGAATCTCCCCATCTGTGGATGTTTTCAAGGCTTGGCTGTGCAAAGCCATGACTCACCCAATCTAGTGTTCCCAAGAGCTGTTTCAAGCAGAGGGTTCGATTAGGTGACCTCTAGAGGTCACCCATTTCTGACTCTGAATTGGACTTCACAAATATAGAGATGCACAGTATGCAAGACAAAAGCTATTTTCACTTGAGCCCTCAGCAGAGGTGTTTTCCACTGCACTTTGAAACATTCAGTCATAGGAGTCTACACAGTAATTCATAGGTAAGTGACAGGAGTTACTGCTACTTGACTAGCAAAAGAGATTATTAGTAAACACTATCAATCTTTTCTAGGTATTAGTCCATTTCCCCCACCTCCAAACATTGCTTTATATTTTTGGAGTCAGATTCTGAGAGACAGACAGGATAGCTACAGTTACCTCTACTAAGACAGGAGAGCTCATCAGCATTTAATGAGGCTTCAGTTTGAGGAGACTAGATAAGCAGAGGAAGGCAGAAGGTAATTACCTTCTCCTATGCCTGCATCCTCAATAATCTACAAGTTCCTCTATATTACCGTCTCTATACAATGTTTTCCCAGTCTTATCACTTAGAGGAAAACTAAAAATACAAGAATCCATCTTAATCACACATGGTAAATCTTATTTTGGGACCACCAAGGCAAGCCAAACAAAACCTGACTGTTTTGCAAAGTACCTAGGTGGCTGATACGGCTGCATACTGTACAGATACATAGCAACCAAAGTACAAGCTTAAATAACAGGAATATCTATTTTTATTCTGCACTGCGAAAATGATGTCTTGAAACATTAACAAATTGAAGACTATGTTAATACATCTGGTATTGTCCCCTCTCGAGAAGTTGATTTAATACTGTCATGGTATCTTAAAATATACTTTTAAGACATCACTTCTCTTGAAAAAGAGCTAAAAAATATACGCAAGATTAGTGTAAAAATAGCGTTCTGCATTTTAGTTATTTAGTTGAAGCTACACAGAAGAGTTCAAATCACAGAAGATCTTTTTGTACAAATTGGTCAGATGCAACTGTTCCATGCTTTAATAGAAAAAGAAGCACTTTTAAATCTTATTCCTACATAATTAACAGATTTGAGGAAAAAAGTAACTGATGGAAGTTATGAATACCAAATCACATTAAATGAATGAACTTAAGTGAAGGGTTACTCTGGCTACAGGTAAAATACTATACAAGTAGTAGTGGTGTTTTCATATCAAACCGATGTTTTTCTATACTACTTTTGAGCACATCCAGAACTGAAGGAAACCCACATTTCCATTAGCCTGAACAAGCTAGGACTTCTAAAAGCTATTGCTCTCACTTGTTCAATAAGCCTTTATTAACTTCCCTCATACTTTTCCCTTCATAACTATAAAGTCATAGCTTCTTCCCAAATCTCCCTAATGCTAAGACATAATTGATTCTGTGTGTCATTTGTATGCAAATCCTCCTCCTTCAACCACATTTTCACTACTGATCTGCTCAGAAATTTACATTCCATGCTTCAACTTTCATCAAAAGAGATTAAATCAGAATGTCTCTTTTCACATACTTTGAACTGACTGAATCTGAACAACTGCAAATAGTGCTGTGAGAGAATAGTTATCATTGGGTTTTCTCCTCAAACAAGAATGAACTTGTTTGTGCAATAAAATTTACAGAAAGACTGGTACTGCCGAACTGACCCCAGTATGCTATACAAGCTGGAAGTGAATCCAATACCTGTAAAGATTAGTCTTAAATATGAAAGTCAAGATTATGAAAAACTAGCATAAGAACTGAAGATTACTGATTTGACTTCACTTTCTATAACTTACTTTAACCTCTTAAATTTAAAATACCTGTAGTCTAGCTCTCCTTCTACAAAAAACAGGGGAGTTCTCAAACCTGACCTCCCAGTCAGAAGTCCAAAAGGTAATACTCAGTCTGTTATTTTTGTGATAAAGAAATTTTTACTGGAGCATTGTCAAAAGAGACTGAACAACTACAACATGCAAGGGAAAAATAAGGACATGAACAAAAAAAGGAACAAAAAGATGAATGTTCTGTTTACATGTAAAATAACTGTTCATACCGGTTTAAATTTAAAGAAAACCAAACAAAAAATGAACTATTACACTCAACTTTAAGAACAAGATTTTGAGTAGAGTATGACCCGTGTTTAATAAAATTTTTTGAAATACTTTTCCAAGAAGAGAGACTGATCCTGTTTTAAGACTGAGTGCAGCACACCGAGCATCTGAAGGAATCTACTTAAGCTACACTCCTTTAATTGATATAGACACTCTTAAAAAAATCCGCATAAAGGCCACATAGTGACTTTATTGGTATCTTCTCCATGAATCATATTTGACAGGTAATAGCTAACTAATGTCCTATTAATTAATGCCCTACTCACACATTCCTAGGATACAAAAAGCAGCGCAGACCTTCTCTGGAAGGTTAGTACAAGCACTAGGAAGAACTGCAATGCTGCTCTTCAGTGGATGGTAAGATCTGAGAATCTGGATGTGACAGGACTGCTATGCAAAATGTAAAATCACCTTAGAGAACACAATGCCTTGGGCCAAACTCATGGTTCAGTAAAAATGAATGCATGCCTACCTCCCACAGCACAAAAATCACAAGTGTACATTGCCTAATCCATCTGGGTAATCTTCAGGCTAAAGCAGATTGAAACCAGGATCCCATCTCCCTACCTACCAGTGCTCTGGGGAAACCTACACGTGCTGTGTAACCAGGGCCCAGTATAGTCAAAGCCAGATGGGCACAAAGTATGGAACCTGACCTTGCTGCCTAACAAGTGAAGATGGAAGAGAAAAAAAAATAAGCCAAGGATATAGTGGCCTGACTGAAGTGGAAAAAGCACAGTTACTTTGTATGCGACCAAAAAGACAAGTTTGTCTTAAAAAAAATTAAAAAAATTGCTGAGCACTTGCAGACATTGAAATACACAGTCAGTTTTAAGTCTTAAATATCGTTTTATAAGCCTAGCTTTAGTTTTGAAGAATGTTAGCTTTAACTGTGCTAAAAGTAGGAAATAAAGCAAAGTTATAGATTTCCTAAAGAAACATAGCTGTAAGCACATAATTTCTGTTTCATTTGTCACTGATCTCCCCGTTGTTAAACTGGAGATTTTTCTTATTCATTCAGAGCTGCTATCAGATAGAAGTTTAGGCTTGAAAGATCCACCACTAATTAGATATGTTCCTAATAAAGAGATAAATGACAGCAAGACAGCTTCGCTGTCTTCACATACAACAAAGCTACAGCGTCCAAGCTAACACTTACCAATTGCTAGGCCATCGCTAAAATTGTGTAGTCCATCTCCCATAATCACCATCCATGCCAGAGTTGCTATCCCCGCATCCTTCAGTTCTTCACGTGAGTAGCGCTGACTGTGACTGTGAGGATGATGATTCTGGTGATGATGGTGATGCAGAATATGATGGTAGTCATGGTGATGATGACTAAGGTGATCTGTCTGTCCTAGAGTATCATGTAAGTGAGAATGACATTTGTTTCTACAGCCCCTGGACACATATTCATTGTCAGCCTCCTCTTGATGAGAATGAGCTATCATCACTTCTTCCTCTTCTTGTACAGTTGGCTGCTGAGAAATGAAGGGCGACGGGTCTTGAGAGTCTGCCCCTAGATAGCCCTCGGGCCCTGTTATAAAAAGCCAGAGTATAATATTATATTTTTAAAATGACGTAGGAAGCAAAGATACAATAAACAAGTTGAATAAGTGATGCAGTACAGAAGAAACTAGTAAGTCTAGAAGTTGAGACTGATACCCAGCTTCTTGTACCAGAAGTCTTTTTTTCCCCCCAAGGGTTTCCACAATTTCTTTTTCTTTAAATCAGATTTCTGAGATAATTCCCAATAGTTCAAAATAAGAAAAACTTAGTTTCTGTCCCCTACTACTGAAGCAGCCCCTACATTATGGCCACAAATGCCTCCTAAAGGTAAAAAAAGCATGAAGGCTGTTAATGCAATTGCTTCAGAAAAATAAAGTATCTGGAAAGCATATGCCATTTATTCATCTTAGGGCTGAAGATTAAGAATGCAGAAGAGGGTTATGTTATAGACAACTTTGCAAACTCCTTTATTTCATATAAACACAGGAGCTTAAGTTTGAATACCTGAAAAATAAACACTCAAAAATAAAGTAATCAACACAGACCATGAAATTTCCTCATATAAACAGCACTGGCACACTAAGGTTAGTTAAAATAACTAACTCCTAAAACTCGTTAAAATTCTTCCCCTGCAATTAAATGAACAAATACACTTTTTTCCTGCGTTACCGACAACTCTTTCGTTAGTAATAAAATTATTCTGAAAAACTGAACGCCTCTTTTAACTGCAAGAGCTAACAAGTATCTAGTGAGGTGCGGTTTGGCTTACAGCATGATCTTGGGGACACATGATCATTTGCAGTCCAAATACTTCAAGTAACCTCTAGGATTTTAGATTATCAACCTTATAAATAAATACTCAAAGTAACAAAATCCAGACCAAAGATCTACAGAAAACTAAACAATGGGTCACGCATATAGCATCTAACAGTCTAAAGAGCAGTGTAGAGCCAGCAGGTACAGCTGTATTTGCAACAGGCACAGCCAGAAGAGCTTCAGAGAATGACTTCAACTTCTGCTGTTAAATCCAGAATTAAGAGGCTTAAGGTTTCAAAACTGTGAATTCACTACTTCCAACCTATCGATCCTTTTTAAAGGAAAGCACCAAATAAAGCTAGTCCTCTACATATCAATACACAGACAGGTTTTGTTTTGAAAAGCATTCAAGTAGGTAGTGATCCAACCTACAGTAAGAAGCAGATCTATGAGCTGCCACCAATCAGGCATTTTTTAAACAGTGCTGCCACAAAATAACAACTGTGCAACATAACTGAGACTTACGATCATCTGTATCTAACTTTTCTTCATTTGCTGAAAACTTCTTACTTTCTCCATCATCTTCATTTTTTTTCTTATTCCAAAAGAAAATACTGTAGTTATGAATATTTTACTTATTTTTCAGGATATACATGAGCAACATTACATTCACAACATTTATGCAGCCTGCACAGAAAGAGGACAACATGGAAGCCATATAAAGAGTGCAGAAGAGGAACATTAGAAACTCAGCTAAGTACAGTAAGACAACAGAAGGTTCCTCAGGCTCCACAGGAGGGGGAAAGAAGCCAAAAAAACATAACAAACCCACACACGTAAATACCCCACATTTTTGCATGAGGGGTTCATCTGAGAAGCAAAACACATCAAATACCAGTATAATGTTTTTTTCTAGTGTACTGAAAGAAAACCAAGTAAAATCTCTAATCACTGCTCACTGATGCCTGTATCAACAATTTACGATCAGTGATTCAGTATCTAGAAGGGCATAATTAGTCTAACAGGAAATCTATTCCCAGAGGCTGAGAGAAGGACACGGAAAATACTTGCTTTGCTTGGAATTCTTCATGTCCTCTCTTGGCAAATATATTTAACTAGAGATAGGGAAAGCAATCCTGTCCCTCGCAGTTAGTTTAAATTCAGTATAAACCACACCAACACAACCTCCTGTGACCAAAGTCAAAGAGCTTACATGGCATCTGCTCTGAGACTGCTGCCTTAATGACCAATTTAACAATAAAACTAAACAGGGATTATCAGTCATTATGGTAGCCTAGAAATTAGCTATTTTTAAGGTAAGTAATTAGTAGTTTACTAACTTTCTTCAAGTGAAGCTTAAGGTATCTCCAGCTTTTACTGTATCTTTTTTACCGAGTCAACTTTTACATCATTGTTTGTTCCTGGCTACACTAGTCTTTAAAGAACTCAGTTACCAGTAACTGGCAAGTTACCAACATTTATGACCTGCCAAAATTCAGTTATTTACCTTCTACATAAAAAAACAGCATAGTAATCTGAAAGCTGTATTGCTCTTTTGCAGGGCAGGGGGGGGGAGAGAAGAAAAAGAAACAAGGATCTTGGCAGATTGTATTTCCAAATGGAACACTATCTAATGAAGTCACTTTCTACAGCGTAGTTGGATGTTTATGGCAGTAAGCACTTACTGCCACCCTTACCCATTTTGTGCAAGTGCTCCCCTCAACAGGAGTACAATAACTGTACGAGGCCATCTTATTTCATCGAGTATGAGAATTAAAATAATAAAAACAGTTCAGATAGTCAGTTGTATAATTGCCTTGAGATGAAGAAGGAAGTCAATAATGAGCAGCTAACTTCTTAAATCACTCTGTTAAAACAAAGGCTGCAACTGGATGTTTGCTTATTAAACAATTCACTGTGGTGTCAAGCCTGTACCCTATGTCTGGTTAAGGAAATAGCTCAGAGTTCTTCCATAACAGGACCACACAAAAGAGTTATCATGTAGTTTAAAAGTACACGTGTCACTAATATAAATGAAATTATAACACTAATCAAGTCAGCAATCACTATTAAATCCAGACAGATATATGATACTCATAAGAGTTTTTTAAAAGTGTATTCAGAAACGATCATGCAATACAATATAGCTTCAAAATAATAGTCTACCTTTTTCTTCTTGTCTTTAAACTGTTTTATTAAAGTGATCAAATGCTCCACTAGAAACATGAAATACAAGCCTCCAAGTGCTGTAAGTCCCTTCCATGTGGAATCCAGGTAAGCACTCTCCTCTATACTTTGAAAAACAAGATGTTTGAACATAGAGCCTTTGTTTTGTTCAAGCAGAGGTTTTTCATGGTGATGATGATGGTTTCCATGAGACTAAGGGGAGAACGAAATGGGGAAAGTCATTATATTCAAGAGAACTGATAACACAAGAAACATAGAAAGTATTCTTCACATTCTTTTCCTCAAGTCTGGAGTCCAGACTTGACAATTTTCATGGGGTAAATGCTCTGGACACAAACTCAAACAATTGCAAAGAAATCTGTTGATAGGAAGAAACATTGCAAGGACTGAAAGTAGGCCTGGTAGTCACACTCTCACTGAAGCTACATGCATACTGCTCAATACAAGATGTACAACTGCCCCCACAAAAAATCCTGACACCGTCAAGGAAACTGCATTTTAAGTAGTAGTCACAGCCAGCATGCCAATTACTTTCCCATCTAAGGCAGCTCATAGACATCAAACACCTTTTTCTACAAGGAACTTATCTTTAAAGGAAGTCCGACATTCTTCCCCTCCTCACTGGCTACTGATATGTTCAGAAACAAAAAACTTCCGGGACACCTCACTCACACATGTTTACATTTATATAACCTCACATAGCAAATGCAAAATTAACTGAAAGGAAAAAGAACCTGATGAATTACAGGCAGGGCTCAGAAACCACCACAGGACCTGCAGTCCTTTTTATCTATCTTATCTGAAAGCTGGGACAAGTTACCTTTTTTTTGGGGGGGAGGGGAAGGATTGTCTGTTTAAGAGCTTCAAGAAAGGTAGAAATTTAGCAATCATATTCCAATTTCATTGCCCATATTACATAACAGCAATATGTAACTCCAAAGTCTATCAAGTAATGTATTCCCAGGACTTCAGAAATGCTTGATTCTGATCAAAAAATTACAATAGATAAGCAATCAACATAGGTGGCTGATAACAGAAAACAGTGGATTATCTATTCCGCATTTAAAGTGTTCAGTGAGCGATTTCCACTATCTATAAAGTTCATTAAACTGGAAAAAGAAAACAAAGAGGCAGCATTGCAGTAAGTGACTAAAAACATTTATGCAAAATTCTTGCATGCAAGGAACAATGAGTGATTTGGCAGCATATATGATTAAGAACAGGAAATAGATTGAGGGATGATGGTGTGAAATTCTTACACTGTAAGGACTGTGACATGAATAATACAGACAGTTCTAAATGGGAAACCTTTCCAGCAAATAATCTACTTTACAAGGCTGAGAAATGACTCACCACATAGGTATTAATTAATAGGGATTAAAATTATCACTAAGAAGTACAGACAGGTGTCAAATTCTTTGTTTTGAGATAATGAATGAAACAGTAATTAATACTTACATGTGGAAGGAGATGTAAGAAAGCATCTCCACTCAAAGTCCCCACAGCCAATGCCACAAGAAAACTTAGAAGAAATTTGAAAAATACGCGATTCATCAGCGGTACCAATATAACACCCAATAAGGAAAGAAAACTGATGACAGAGATGGATATAAAGCCACCAATCCAAGCTAGTAAAAAAGAAAAAAGTAACAAGAATAAACAGCTGTATGAGATTTTGTTTGCTTAACATTCCTGTTATCAAACACTCCTGATCATGTGATTAATCAGATGTTAACAAATAGTAAGCCACAAAGATTTCTCTCTAGACATGGTCGAGTGCCGAAAGAAAATTACAAGCTTCTTTCAACTTTGAAATATGTTTCTCAAATTTATAACCAACATAAGTGGATTTCCAGTAAGCTTTTATTCCATGTTACAAAAACAACCTACCTATTTGCAGAGAGTAACTTTTTGCAGGAGTTTCAGCTTTTTCACTAGTTGCATGGACTATGCAGTATTTGCCATCGATTTGATTAATAAGAGCTGGACAGAGGTAACTAAATTCTGTAGCAGTCAACAATACTTGAGTGCCTATTCCATGGGACTGCATCAGTTTTGATGCACTGGAGCACTGTGGAAAGACATGTGTTAAGATTAACCAGAACCAAAACACCATGATATATCTCAAGAGGACTGCACATCCCATTTTAATTGAAATGCAGTGGCACCACATGAAAACAGCTATGTCAACGGTAATTAAAAAACAGTAACAAACCAATTGAGTAAGAACTGTACCTCCATCCCCCTTCTGGCCCAGAAAGCTAGTTTGGGAGTCCTGGTAGATGATGCATAATTATCACACATTCTCAGCACAAGGGGATCAGATTTTTTTTCTGTTTGCTTTGCTGTGCAAACAGAAAAAGCCTAACACTTTTCACGCAGTTTTAGAGGCCATATGAGGAAGTAGTAACAAGGTTAAATACCTTTTTATAGAAGTGATTACTATGGAAAGTCTTGTACAGAACATGTTCTGCACACGCTTCCTCCAGTAAAGAGTTCCCCACTGTACAACCTACAGTCTCACTGGGTTTAAGTAGCAGTAGTACTTCTGCTCCAACTGTGCAGAACACAGTAACAGCTTGTGAATTCAGCACCTACGATCACATGCTACACAACACCCACTCTGAATTACCTGGCATGGCTGCATACATTAAGACCCCAGGGAGACTACTTGCCTTTTAAAGCCTTTAATGGAGAAGGATCTGATTGTATAGGAAAACTGTCTCCAACACAACTATAGACATTATCAGCACTAATTTTTACTATTTTAAAGTAACAGATAACATTTTGCAACAACCGTTTTTACAGTTGGTCTCTACATACAATCTTAAAGAAGATGAGGAGGGAGGGGGTTGAAGGAGGAAGGTGCCAATTACTTCCCTGCAGTTCTACACTATCTGCCACAGGATAATCTAACACTTGTGAGGCAGCTTGGATAAGAATGACAGCATTTTAACTAGATTTTTTTTACTTTCGCCACTTATTAGGAAAACAAGACAGATTCTGACTTCAAGGCAGAACAGCAAGTTTTAAGTTTGAAGTGTTTTTCATTTTTAGCAATATTTTAAAATAATATATAAACAATAAATATATAAAACCGAGTGTATGTTTGTACTTCAGTACATATTCTTTTTTAGGAAAAATTAAAACTAACTAGATTGCATATATATTTTCCTCTGAGCCTGTGAACATAACACAACATTCCTTCAAAATGTTAAGTTTCAAGGAAAGTTGTTTGTTAAGAGTACCGTTACACCACAAAGCTTGTACCCAGTTAAATGATAAGCACCTGACAAATAAGCCATAACAACATTCCCGGTGGGTCTGGATTCCCAAGAATACAACAGAGTCAGTCTCACCTCTTGGGTATTTTGGTTTTTCAGTTTGGAATACAGGTAACTTCCTCTTTCCAATTCCTTTGGAGAAGTACGAGATTCATTTGCTTTGCTGTTAGCAAGCCAGCTTGCATTGCTGCCACCTGTGACATTAACGGGATTAGAGCTGGTCAGACCTAAACGAGCAACCAGCTTGACTTCTCCAGGTTGCACATTCTGTAATTCAGAGTGGCCACCTACAGGAGCAGTGATGATAGATGCCGTTATCTCATTAACAGTGTTCTTGCCACGCACAAAGTTCTGCTGATGTTCTGCATTCTCTGCTTTATGAGGTTCCTTTGAGTGACTGTTCCTGTGGTCTTTGTTAGCATCAGATTCATGGTTTGGACAAACAGTCTTCTCGGAGTTTTTACTCAGCGAAACATGATTATGATGAAGGTGATGATCGTGGTCGTGATCATGGTCTATCTTAATCCTTTTCATTTTATCTATACCTATGTTCTGGAGCAGTTTTCTAAACCCTTCAATCGACAGAGAGTTGTTTTCTCCATAACGATGAAAAAGTTCTTGAAGGTGAAACTTCTGTATTAATCCTGCCAAGTCAATATTAATGCCAGCTGCCTTCTCCGGAAAAGTTCTCTCTGATGTATGCACAACAGTAGCTGTCTCCACTCCATGATGATAACTTTCACACAGCAGTATGGAAAATGACAGAAGGAAAGTGACCGATGCTGTACTCTCCATTGCAGTTTCTTTTTAGCAGTAAAAAAAAAAACCACTGGAAAAAAGAAATTGTTAACAGTTTGCATAAAACTGATCACATCTTCCTCTGTAATAGACCTTCGTAATTTGCTTAAACAAAAGAAACCCACAACAAACCAAACCCTGCTCAAAGTATCAATGCAGTAAGAGAAGTGCCATTTAAGTTTCTTAGACATTCAACTTCTTTCCCAGATGCGTGGCCTCAGGCAACGGGAGACGAAGCTGCATACCAGTGAGGTAACTGGCCATGAACACCCCTCAGGTGTAAGCCTACCTTTGTTAAGCTTGGCCTGAGTCAGTTTTCTAAGACAGGCTAAACAATGAGAGCATCCTCAAGGGTGCACCAACTGAGTTCTAGGTTTGGCTTTTCTTGTGCTTAAAGGAAGCCTTATAATTTCACTCTTAGCAAGGAATAGGTAGCATAAATTATGTTTCTGCTTAAAAATCAAAATTCCCAACCTTCAATCGCTGGACTTCCCAGAGCTCTCGGCAAGCCAGCAGGGCGAGTTTTCAGCACTCCACCAAATTTTTTTTATGCCGTCACGTTCTATCTGTGTTTTAACACTGCTATCGTACAGCTCCTTTCACTAGGCAGGCAGACCACCGCCGCGAACGTTTGTGTGGTTTATTCCAAGAATACTGTAGCAAGGCTACGAATTAACCGGTATTTAGGCTGCGTCCAGGACTACGTCAGAGGGCCGCCTCAGCCCTTTCTCAGGGAGGCACAGAGCACGCAGCGTAACGCAGAGAACGCCACAGTTTTCAGTAAGGTTATAGCCAGCCTTAAACACCCAGCTCCACCGCCGGGACCCGCAGGAGCCG